CTTATACCCTGCTCAGATAAAAACCATAAAAAGTGAAAGTGCCTGAGCACAGTTTCTAAGTTCCTGTCTATATTAAAAAGCTTTACATATTTATGTAGGCCTATTTAAAACATTTAAAACAGAATGATCTAGTTAAACTGGTGCACACTTTACCCACCAAGTCTTTATCCATGATGTCATGATTGGCAAGTGTCTTCCTCTTTGCTCACATTCATCTTTAGGATTACACCTGAGAGCTTCTAATATTTAATAGGAATTATGTTTATAATAAAACATACAATAAAGATAGGAAGAGATTGATGGAAACTGAGAGAAAAATATGCAAGGAAATCTTACAGAAGAGGAACAGACACAGTTAAGTGTCAAGGAATATATCAAATGTATTTTTGGCTGTGTTTTTAAGCAATATAGATTTGGTACCTATATCTGCTATCTCTGCATCTTAGTCATAAATCTAGGCTGATGGGGATATTCTTTCATGCCTCTGGCAGACAGGGAGCAGTAACCAATAACTGCAGAGATTTATCACAATTCTCTCTTCTTTCTCCCAGCTACCATCTGCCATAAGGAAGTTTTTGAGCACAACTAACAGTTCGGAATATAACGCTGATGGGTTAGAGGCTGTCAGAGAACACAAGGAAGCTACAGGAACTTGATCCAGTAAGTAAGTCTTGAGGGTTTAAAAAAAATGTGGTGATTCAGTTCCACCGATTCTTAAATTGTTGGAACTGATAACAGTAGTTCCTATGAGCAACTTCAACTTCAGGATAGGGAATTCAGTCCCTGCTCCCACACTCCTGATTTCCTCCTTCAGAAATGGCAAACATCAAAGACTGACTTGGTATTTGTTTGTCTACCCTAGGGAGAACACTTTAAATTTAAACTGCGCTGTAGATTTCTATATTTATAACCAGCCTCATCACCAAAGCTTTAAAGGGGATAGAATTCAAGGACTTGGTCTCCAGAAAATGCATATTTTGGGGTGTCTTGATTTTACTGCTTTCCCACCAGTTTAACAACTTCCACTTTGTTGCTCTAAACACAACTTGATTTGGGGTCTCTCTCCTTCCCTATTCCCCCAACAGATTTTAATTAGTGTGGAGCCACAGCTCACCTGACTCTAAGGGAAGCTAGATAGTGGAATCCAGTGGAGTGTATTGTAAATAATATATGATGATGACTAATGGAATGGTTCAAATATTTGCATGATTCTAAGTATATTATATAGGAAGACAGTGAGGGAGGGTTCAGAGTTACTCATGCAGCTCTCTCCTCATACCTGGGTAGACCTCAGAGATGCACCTTTTTTTCCTTAAATTGTGCAACTGTATAAGTATACTACTTTTTCTTTGCCCCCCATTTATACATTTCCATGTAGAACAAGGTCAATAAATGTTATCTAAATGGTCTGAACAGATATACCAAAGATGACTCCTTGTTATTTACAGATACTGCAAAATACAGGCAACAGAAGTCAAGTCTTCAGTGGCCTGAAGGCATACAGTCTCCTTTGCCTGAGGACAGGCAAAACATCCGCTGTTTACCTTATGAACATACACGGTGTATGACACAATAGTATCCTACAGTGGTCTGGAAGGCCTCTGGAACCTGGGACTTCACATAACTGGAATTTATTACAGCTGCTATAGGACTGGCTCTTCAGTGACTGTGCTAATCCCCCAACATCTCCACACTGTTATTTTATTATGGCTCATAGTGTTTAAACATCCAAAAAGATAAAACAGATAAGATGAAGATGTTCTGTTGTAGAGGTGGGTTGATAACTTTTTTTCAAAAATATTAATAAAAACATTGTTAAATATATATTTTTCTTAAAAATAATCCTGGTTAAACTGTAATCTTTATATAATACAAAATATGTTAACTCCCAAACATCCTAATCTTTTAAATATTTAAATGAAAAATAAATATGCTGAATCCATAAGCCTCTAGGAAAAACTTCAAGTTACAGGCTAAGTGATTTTCTATATAAAGAATCAGGGGAAAGCTCAAAAGTGGACCATAAACCAAGTACAAGCCAACAGTGTGCTCTTTTTGCAAAAAAAGCCAACAACATTCTGGATTTTATTAACAGAAGTGTCACTTAGAAATCAAGGACAGTGATTTTTCCACTGTATTCAATGGCCAGTTTTGGGCCCCACAATTCAAAACGATTGTGGACGGCTTGGAAAGAGCCTGGCACAAACTAACCAAAAAGGGTTAAGGGCCTGGGATGCAAGATTTATGGAGAAGGCTGAAAGAGCTATGGTTATTTAGTACGGAGAAGAGAAAACTGTGGGGGGTGGGAGGAGGAAGGGAGTGATAACAGTCTTCTATTTTGTGAAAGGTGATTACAGAGAGGCTGGAGATGGGCTTTTCTCTGTGGCCATAGAAGACAGGACTAGGTGCAATGCTCTTAAACTTCAGCAGGGGAAATTTAGGTTGGAGATTAGGAGGAACTTTCTGACTAGAGGGTGGTCAAGCAATAGAACAGGCTACCTAAAGAAGTTGTGGAATCCCTATCTCTAGACATTTGTAGGAATAGGTGAGACAGACACTTGGCTGGGATGGTTTAGTCAGGGATGATTCTGCCTTGAACAGGGTGCTGGAATAGATAACATTGTGAGGTCCCTTCCAGCCCTACCTTCCTATGATCCTAAATATTGCACAAAAGTTCATTCACTGTGCACTCTGTATTGTGGAGCACAAAAGGTGTAAGGGTACAAGAGACTGGCAAAGTCATCATAGGAGTTGATTCCCAATGGCATCATCATAAATCACTAAGGCTAGGGACAGACATTACACATAAACCTGTTTAAGTGATCAGAAACTGGTTTAAACCTGTAACGGAACAGATGTTCAGTGCACATGAACCAGTTTCAAAATGGCTGAAATTAGTTTGAGATAAACCTGGTTGAATGCAGTATCAGACTTAAATGATTTGGCTCAAACTGATTTATGCAATGTCTGTCCTAGACCCCTTGTTGGTTTAAGATAAATCAGACTCCCCCAGCATCCCGACATGCCCTCTGGGATGGGCAGAGCTCTCTGCTCCAGAGCAGGACTGGCCCCGCCCCTCTACTCCCTGGCTGCAGCTCCAGAGACATGCAGGCTGCTCCCCCTCTCCACTTTCTGCTAAGCAGGAATTCCCTCCCCCACTCCTCCCCAGCTCCCCTCTGTCTTGCTGAGGAGGTGTCTGTGTATTAGCTAGCAGACCTCATGACCACATGCTGGTTACAGTCCCTGCTGAATCAGTAGGTAGAATTAACAGGCAGAATCAACAGGTAGCTGGTAATGTGTCTCTGCTGTTTTCTTAACTAGGTGATAAACACTGGTATCAATTCCCTGCTGGGATAATCATAGTGTTCTTCTGTAGCCTGACTATGCCCCCACTCAGCTCACTACTGTGGAAGGGAAGAGAGGGCTGCTTTAGTGCTCCCTGGCTTATAGCCTGAACCACTACAGGTATGTGCCTGCATTTCTGGGATGTCTATCTGGTTACAGAACTAATTTAGTCTAGTTAGGTTAGACTAACCTGCAAAGACTGAATCAATTCAGGCTCAGACTTTTTGAATGTCTGTCCCTAGCCATAAGGTTCATCTATGGACCCTTCCTAGGTAGTCTCATGCTCCTATTTCATACTCTATCAGAGTTCTGATAGGCTCAGCTCACACCGAGAAAACAAAATATGATGGTAATAAACGACAGACTATGATATATGCATGTGTGAGCTATATATATATAGCTCAGTTCTCCCTATATATATATATATATATATATATAGGGGCTCAGTTCTCAAATTTACATATAAATGTATGCATCCAAAATATCTAAGGCAGAAGGCAGGCAGGGTAGCACCTTAGGCCACCTCTATATATTATACTTTAGGCATGATTAACTAGGTAATCATGTCTTAAGTTGTGACCCAATTACATGTTCAACCAATTAGCTGCGTGAAAGAACAATGAATAAGCTACAAAATTATTCCACAAAAAATGTGTAATAACTTTGTAGGTTGTTCAAATGATGCCATTAATTGAATATGTGGCCAAGTGCTCCCTTGTGGCTGGGAGCCCCAGCAACTGAGAGGCTCCCAGTCACCCCCACAATTGACAGGGCTTGCAGTGGTGGCAGTGTTGTCAGTTGCAGGGCTTGCAACAGGTAAAATGCTACCTCCCACTATGCACCTCATAACATGCAGGGCTTGCAGCAGAGGCAGTGGGGAGAATGCAACTGCCGTTGCAAGGTCCACACCTCATCAGGCTCACAGCAGTATTCCCAATGCTGACCCCACTGCAAGCCCCACAGGCCATGTTGAGTGAGCCCTCCCGAACTCCATCAGCTAAGAGACTTATAGCCAAGGAAGCTGGTGCAGGGGAATACCGGGATGGTGATCCCAGGTTGACCCTTCATTGGTGACAACATGCAACAAGAGCTTATGCACAATCCCACTATCAAACCTCCTGCTATGCATGCTTGGCATGGCAGGAGCAGTGATTGTGCAGATCATGCATTAGATTCCATCGCACCTGTACTTGCACATGTAGAGGGGCCCTTAGGCTAGGGGCAGACATTACACATAAACCAGTTTAAGTCTAAGGGAAGACAAACCCTGAGCCTGAACTGATTCAATCTTTGCAGATTAGTCTAACTTGCAGAGAATGAACTGGTTTGCAAGTGGATAGACATTAGGCACATGCCTGCAGTGGCTCAAGCCAGAAGTCCAAGAGTGCTAGAGCACCCCTCCCTTCCATGGGGAAGCTGAGCTGAGGAGTGGGGGCATGTCCCAGCATCTCCCTGACAGTCAGAAGCAATCCCAGCACACAGGGCTGCCCAGCCCCAGAGGGGAACTCTTTCACCTCCTCCCTCTCCCCCACTGCCGCAGAGCCAGGAGGGGGCTCTGTTCAGTGTTGGGGGTGCTCTTCTCCCTCTTCCTCTCCTGCTACCACCATGGGATGGGGAGGGGGGCTCTGTGAGGGTGCTTTGCCCCAAAAAGTGACTCTTTCTACTGCTTCTCCCCCATTGCTGCAGGGTGGGGAGGTGGGAGTTCTATGAGATGCTGCCCAGCCCCAGAGTGGGACTCTTCTCCCCCACTCCTCCCTTCCCCAAGGCAAGAGGAGGCTCTGTTCCATGCTGAAGGGAACTCTTCCCCTTCCTCTCCTCTCCCTGGAAGGGCAGTGGGAGCACAGAGCTCAGCTGAGCAGGGGGTGGGTATGGGGGTGTAGGGATCCCCTCTCACTCCCCCCATGGCATGCAGCCCCTACTGCGTGGCAGCAGCAGCAGCCAGGGATGTCAGGGCACTCATGACTGACACAGGAAGCCCAACACTGGAGGCTGCTGTCTTTCCTGCTCCTGGCTGAGCAATCCCCATACTCTGCTGGGAGTGGAGGGAGCCCTACCCCTGCTTCCCCACAGAGTCCAGTGTGGGACTTCCTCTCTGTGAGTGCAGCACTGCAGGCAGGCAGCATGGGGTCCTGGGTTTAAGTTAAACTAGAGTCCCCCAGCATCCCAGATGCTTTACAGTCCTGGGCTGGGCTGGGCTGTCTTCTCCAGAAAACAAGAGCTGGCCCAGTCCCTCTGTTCTCTAGCCAGAGCTCTGGCAGAGACTACAGGCACAGCAGGGTCTGTCTGGCTTCCCCCTGCCACCCTTCCCCCACATCACCACTCACTGCTTAGTCAGAGATCCCTCCCTCCCTCCCATCTCCCACAGCACAGGCCCCAGGCCCATGGACCTTAGTCAGCATGTGATATGCTAGCTAATGCTGAGAGGTGTCTATGTGTGTGTCTCCTTAATTTCATTGGGACAGGACAAAGGCAGACAGGCAAATGTCAGCTTAGGGTTTCCTGGAGCTAATCATCAGGCCAGCTGGTAATGTCCCCTCTGTTCCTTCCTTGGAAAAAGGCTGTTTAAGAAGAGCTTGAACTAATGAAAGAGGCTTTTATTTTCTTGATGGGCTGCTCAACACTGTGTTATCAGCTCCCTACTGCCTCTCTTGCCTGTCAGGTTTGCTGCAGACAGTATGAAGAAGCAGGGAGAGGGAGATTGAAAAGCTCAGTATCATCAACTGATGCATGCACTACACACCACCCCTTTGCCTCAAAGTGCTGGCTGGGGCCTGGGTTCTGGCAACCCTCCGGCCCCTGGAGCAGTGAGTGGGGAAATGCCTGGGACTGTGCAAATAGAGTGGGGGTTTAAAGCCTTCCCTAATCAGAGCACCCTGCTGGGGCCTGGCCATGCCCTCCCTCAACTCAGCACTGTAGAAGGGAAGGGAGGGCTGCTCTAGTGTCCCCTGGCTTCTAGCCTGAGCCACTGCAGGCATGTACTTGCATTTCCTCAGTCCAGAGGGAATGTTTGTGCAGTTGCAAACTGATTCAATCTAGGCAGGTTAGACTAGCTTGCAAAGATTCAATCAATTCAGGCTCAGGCTTTTTGAACGTCTGTCCCTAGCCTTAGAGACTTTCTGGTTCAAAAAGGCAGAAAGTTTTGTAGCTTTTGATGAAGCTTGCTGTCTGTTTGCCTTCTGCCTGACTTCAGACTAACATAGCTAAAAATTATTTATATTCTTCATCTTTCACCTGAAAGGCGTCCCTTTGAGTTTTCCCTCCTTTCTGATTCAACCTTCCTCAATTTTATTCTGGCTTAGAATGTTTTTTTTCTCTTATCACTATTCCCTTCCCCCTGGCACTACTTGCCCCCCAAAATTAGTAACATTTGTGTTATCATATGTAAAAGTTTAGGGATTACAGCCTCAATTTTTGGTGCCCAACATGTACATGCAATGTTACAACTGTTGCCCAACTTCTTTTTTTAACAAGTTTGGGGCTGTGATATCAAACTGAGTTCCACACAGACCAACCACAAGTAAATTGGAGTCTGCATGAATGGAATGTCTATTTTCTTGAGATTTTCCAGCTGGTCTAATAAAAGGTATCATTTTGGAACCAAGAGTTCTAGTTTTTTGTATATGCATATACAGCAACCTGAAGAATGGACGCCCAAGAAAAACAGCCATACATGAAGGGCAGGTAGCAAAGGATAGTTTTCGATATACACAATTATTTTTAACATACATACGCACAATCATCTCCCCACTTTGCCATATCTCCCACCTCATCAGATTTTCACTCCCAGTATTTCTCTAACTTCTGCATTTCTCCACATGGATTCTGCTCTCTCATAATTCTGTTACACAAACTCATTGTTATTATTTCCTACCTTGCCTTGACTTCACTGTCTGGAAGGAGGAGTATGTTATGTTCATTACAGCTTAACTGGATTCAAGCTACCAGTTTCTGCTCCTCTGTCAATAAAAACATTCTCTGCAACCATAAAAACAAATGGTTTCAGAAACATAGGTATTCTTCAATTGTGGAAGAGGAAGATTTTTCTTAAGTAACAGCTCCATTATCCTTCTCTCTTCCATGAATCTTCTCTATTCATTCTTCAAAATATGAATAAGGGGAGCATGAAAGTACAGGTATTTTTCTTTACAACATGACTTATTTACTGATTTTGTAATCCATAGTGATAGACCACTGAATTGAGAATGGAGGAAATGTAATACTAAGATGAGGCAGCAGTGAATCTCATTTGCATTTGTTATTTCAGACTGGTATATTAATAAACCCACACAAGTAAGCCATACTAAGAAAAATCATAGCATCAAATCAATATATAAAAACAAAGACTATGATGGTCAACTAAAAGCAACACTGTAATATAGCCATAACCAAACATCTGGTTTGTACATGTTTCCCCCCAGTCAGGATTTGTTTTCTAAAATTTTCCCCTTGATTGGCAGTGTATTAACAAAATTTAACAAAAGTAGGAAATCCAAACAAAAATGATAGGAAACATATATTTATTAAGGTATCACTAGCATTTGCAACAATTGTTTATCCTTTTTGAGGTACACAACATTCAAATGATGTTCCCTAACAGAGTTAAATGCTGCTGAAAATAAGCCTACTATCATTTTAAAGATTCACTGATTTATGGTTTTACAAAATAACCAAGCTGTTCTGTTCTACTTTTTAAAACCACACAGAGCAGAAGAAAAAGAGGTAGAGGAAAACATTTAGTCTATAGTACATGTAGCACTTTAGTGCTAGATTCAACTTTAGAAGTTCAGTGAAGTTTTCTGTTCTTCTATCATATTGTTAGATATTTCATAACTATTTCATAGGGACTACTGTAGAAAAACCCTTACCAATGCTCCAAGACAAAAACTATTTTAGCCACTGAGGTTTCATTATGCCTTAACAAACAAATCAAGTGTCACCAAACTTCTCATGTGCACTCACACTGCTTAGTGTTGTCTTTCATTTCTCACAGTGTTGTGTAAAAACTGCCAGTCAGTCTCTTTCCTGACAGTATTCCACTCCAACAAGAATAACATCTACTTTACATATATCAATGAATACACAAAAGCATATAGGATATTATTTTTGCAAAATATGAATTACAGTAAATGAACACATGTATTCTTTTTTCAGTAGTACCTATCATGGTGTAACAATAATTTACATTTCTTAATTATCCAAATAGCAAAATTTTCCCTTATGGGAGGTTAATATATTAATTATACAACAGTATTCTTTCAGGGAGAGTATTCAACCACATTAACTAACCGTTTGCTCTTCAGCATTCTCCCACTTTTTTGTCCTTACTGCATGCAGCTTCCCTCTTAAAAAGCTTGAGGGCTTTTTTATAAAGGGAAATTGCACATGATTTTCATTTCAGAAGGAGTCCCCATGTGTACATTCTTATTCGAGAATAAGAGTGCCATTTCCAAGTTAGAAGTGGAGTAAACCGGCATCCAGGAAAAAGTGCTCTTATTCTTACAATGAAAGAATCTATGTGGTTTCTTCAATTCAAATTCACATTTCACTTCAGTCCAAAATAACATTCAGGCATATGCAAGCCTGAGACTTTATAGAGTACCGAAACCAGCAGCTCAGAGAAAACACAAAGCAGTGGATGCTGTGCAGTTCTTCCAGTGAAGTCTGTGTGCACAACACTGTTATTATTTAAGTAATGCAACAACAAGAACGTAAGACTACCAGCTGTGTTCATTTGTGTTGAATTGTATGAAGATTTTAACTTATAAATGAGGTAAAAATATGAGCAATATAGTTCTAGAATACAGCACAGATTCTACTATACTATCAAGAATATCTTCTTCAGTCACCATGAAAGATCTTCCTTGTAACCAGTTTGTTAGTTAAGGACTTCACAATGTAGATCAATGCACTGCTGTCTCTTCGAGTATGCTACACTGAAAGAATTGCACCATAAGAATTGTTACCACATTGTGTTCATACTAATTAAGTTCAAGTCTTGCTGTGAGCACCTAAATACAAAAGTTGTTAAACAAAAAGCCTATACTTTGACTTGAAAAATCCCAAGGGAAGAAAGCCCTAATTATCCCCAAACCCAGATTAATGGATATATACTTCAGTTTTTATTTCAATTTTTTCTGCAGACAGAATAACATTTTCTAGGGCATTTCTGTACCCTCTTCTTGATGCTTGACAGAGATGCTATTTAAAGAGAACCAAACTCATTATCTTAATAACCTGAGGTTAATTTGAACTCAGTCCCCTTACACCAGTCCAATATACTGAAGCAATTATCTATGGCGGGGGTTGGCAATATACCAACCATGGGCCAGATATGACCTGTGAAGCTAAAGGGCTTTGCCTGTGCCCATGCTCACACCCATTCCCAGATCAGGGAAAGCCAGTATACAGCTGTGTCTTCGCCGCCAGTGCTTCTCCCTGCTTTCAGTCAGTGGGGAGCTGTGCAGGGGCTGGTCAGCTTTTAGCAGTGTTTGGGCTGCAACCAGGAGGTAGGAGTAAAGGGAAGTAGGGAGGAACAGCAGCAACAGAGACACAGTTTGCAACTGCTTAGCCTTAGTGCAGTTCTCCATTGGTAGAAGCTCTGCTTGATTCCTAGCCAGGGAGTGAGGGGGCTGCAAGAAGCTGTGGTGGCACAGGTGCAGGTCCCACTTGGTAGCCCTGGCACAGGTGCAGGGAAAACCCCGCATTTTTGGTGCACCTTCAAAGCCATCCAACCCACATTGTACTGGAGCTGCGGTGTTCCAGCCTGTGGCTTGTTAAAGGTTGCTTGCAGCTGATCTATGGGTATGTCTACACAATAAGTTGCTGTCACTGAAGTAACCGCAATACAGTGCAAAGACACCTGATTTACCTGTCTAGTCATGGAAGATTTGAGGTCAGCCCAGTCCTCTCTAGTACATAACTAAATGTAGTGTATCTTGGATATCTCCATGCTATACTGCAGTTACTACTGTGACTACAGTGTAGACAAACCCTACATCATTTAATGAATTAACAGCATTTAATACAATGACTGACCTTGACTAATCAGGTAGATAGTAAATGTTCTAAGCTGCTCTTGAGCCATTCAAATGATTCCAGTCAGAATGCCAGGAATGATTCAGTTGACATTGGAGATAAATTGAACTATGTCCCTGAAATAGTAAATCCAGGAGTCATATTGTAATTGCCAAGGGATCATCATAGCAAAGAGAGAAAAAAAAAAAGCTAACCAGGCTGTTGTTCCTAGATAACTGCCATCAGAAGTGGATACTGCTTTTGACTCACTTCACCTATGCCATAATATTTCTGCTAATAAAAATTAAATTTCTCCTAAAAATAAATTAAACTGGTTATGATGGAGTTAAACAAACAATGAAGGTAGATTACTTAGTAAAGTCAATTGTTGGATGAGTTGTTCCATAGCTGTTCCATCAATGGATGGCTAAAGACAGGGAAAATATAATAAATTACCTTACACTTATAACAGTTGGATCCACCAGCTGTTGACAGCTATTAAAACTAGAATAAAGTTAGGGAAAACCCACCAGACTTCTCAATGCCCAAAGACAGCATAGAAATGTTCTCCCATTTTGGAAATTCATGATACACTGGAATTAATTTTTAAAGCTGAAATATGCTCTTACCATCATGATTAGGATTTCCCAAGGTCCATGGCTCATCTGAGTCAAAATGAGTGTCGCCCCCAATTCCTGGCCCAGGAAAATATGCATGAGCCAAAAATCCTCCCTCCCCATCAAAGGGAGAACTGTCTCCATGAAAACCTGATGCAAAAATGATTGTAATATCCACATCTCTCTTGCCATTTTCTAATTCAATATAAGGAACTTCTTCAAATGTCAGAGGAGTTACATTCTGCCACACATCAAAGGCACGGCGAATGGCTTTACGGGTTTCGGCATCACCTACTTTTGGAGTAACGTTCTTTATGCTGAAATAAAAAAAAAAAGAGAAAAATTTAATCTGATAGCATGGTCAGTGGCACTGCTCACATTCATTTTACTCTGCTTGCTATGGGCACTGACATAACTAGTGCTATTATATCCTTGGAGAATAATAGCTTTAAATAAATAGGTGAGAAATTGCTGCATTAATCTGTGCAGTCTTTTATTCTAGAACTCATTATGGGTTAGCTATTTGATTCTCAGCAGTACAGAAATCTTATTCTAAAACCATTAAAAATATTTCAGAAAGAAAAACGTTAAACAGTAGGATAAGTGAATTAATCTGTCACTGGCTGTTTACTTCTTGGACCACAATTAAAAAACAGTTCACCCAAAGGACAGGATATCATTCTGATCAAAAGCTAAGAATGCTTCCAGTTGAATTAAATTTTAATTTCTTAGCGGGTACAATTAGCAATAGTATAACTCCATACTGTGCCCACCAACCAGCATTTACAAGGTTTCAAAAAGAATTCCTGCAACATTCAGAACTACACAACTAATTCCTAATTAAAAACAAAGCCTTTCCATTTAATGACAGGTTATGCTGCTCTTTTATGATTTGATTAAACATGTCATGACCTGGTGCTAAATTGTATAGCTTATTAGAATGGGAAAGTTTGAAGCATAGTATCCATTCAACAAGAGTTTATTTTAACCATTTCTTTAATAGCAAAAGTTCCATCTTAATTTCCAATGCACAGAATTCCCACGCAAAAATATTTGGTAAAATGATTGTGGTTGAAAATATGTTTCAATAGAACCTTACATTTGAAATAGTAAAAAGACACAGGGAGAGGGAGAATCAATCACTAATCAACTTGCTATCTAGCCAGTTCTCATTGCCATCCTTCACACACTATTGTCTGATTTGTACCATTCATCAAATCCTTATTTTACCCCCTTTTTTGGATGTCTGTCCCAGAACTTCTGTATTTGGATATACACTGTTGATTAGAAAAAGCAGTTGATTACATGTCCAGGAAAGTTTTTAGGAATGATACTATACCAGAGTATATTAAATTATGTAAGAGTTATAAAAGTTTTCATATTGTGATACAGGGGAACAGGAGAAAATATTTTTATGAATAAAACTGGAATAATTTGTATGTTTAGAGACTTGACGTGTTTGATGATCTGGTGTTGTTGGTTTATATAAGTGTTCATATTTGAATTTTTGAACTAATAATGCATACATGGAGTTTAATGAAGAAGGAAATATTATATCATCTAGCTTAACCTCCACACAGTCACTTTTGTACTGAACGCAGTAACTTGTGTTTGACTAAAGTATGACTGCTTCTGGTTAATGTGCATCTTCTAGAGTAGCATCAAGTCCTGAAATGAAGACATGATAAGATGGAGAATACATCACTTTTCTTAGTAGTTTGTCCAAACAGTTAATCATATTCACCATTCAATATTTATCCTTAACTTTTAATTTGAATTTGTCCAACTTCAACTTCCTACCGTCAGCTCTCATTGTGCCTTTCTAGGTTAGATTTGTACCCTGTCTTTTCAACCCTTGAATGCATGGGGTCACTCTGGCTGCAGAGTGACTGCATGTGCCAACCCCAGTACAGACCAGTGATCTAGCAAGCAGTGAAGTGGCAATTAATGCTGTTACCATTTCCCCACAGGCAATGTCTAGACCTGTGGGGAGCCCTACGGGCTGGATAACAGGTCAAAAAGCTAGATCAGGTTTGCGGGCTGGAAGTTGAACTGCACTGTTGTAACCAGATTGCACACTCTAAGCCTCTCATTATATGGCATTATAGTCATGCCTTGAAGCATTTTTGCAATTATTTTCTTTTTAAACCAGGTCCAATTTTTCAACATTTTTTTTGATATGTGGACTAAAAGTATGCAGTATTCTAATACTGGTTTCATAAATACCACAGAGAAAGAGAAAATTATTCTTTAGTTCTACCTACCACTCCTTCCACCTCCAACCATTTATTCATCTTAAGATTGCATCAGCCCTTTTTATCACAATGTTTATTTTATGTATTTATTTATCTGGTTTATATGCCACCCTTCCAAACAAAGGCTCAGAGTGGCTAACAGTAAGAAAATAAGATGACTTAAAAATAGGAGAATGTCAAGAGAAGCAAAAGAGCTTAAAAGGGAACTAGAACACCAAGATAAAAACAGAGCCCTGAGGAAGGGTACTTTGATACCCAAAACCTGGCCTATGGCTGTGTACACACATTCAAATAATCTGGGAGAATTTTCCCAGGTTTGTTGTCCTGGAAAATAAACTTACCCACAGCTGCATGTACAGATATTCAAATGCTGAGTCCCTAAAGAGCAGAGAGCTTTCAATATTAATAATGTGAAGCCAGAAGGAGGTGGGGGGAGAAGGAAGGATGCTGCATATAAATCTCAGCATACTCTGCAAGCTCCCTTAGTCTGCCTGATGACAGATGAAAAATGCATAAGGCAGCCCTAATTGACTGACTCAGACTCCCCTGATCAGACTGTGTTTCCCTGTAGCACAGTCTGGGGACTGTAAAGGGAGTGTGTTCTGCTCCCTGCTGGAGCAGCAGAGTCCAGCAAGCAACATACTGTCTCTCAGGGCATGGGGGAGGGGGGCCATGGACGGAGAGGGAGATCCTGGAGAACCATGTTCTCTCCTCAGTGAAGCCACAGCATGTACAGACATTCACTCTCCCAGAAGAAACTCTTTCAGAAGTGATTTAAACCTAGTATTTACCAGGTTATTCTTCTCCTTGAGTGGCCATTTTTACTCTGGAAGAAAAAGCCTGACCACCTGTACACTCATGGTTTCTCCTGGGAAAGCAGCAACTCTCCAGGGAGAAAATGTCTGTAGGAGGTCTCGGTGTATACCAACCACATAGTTGGTCCAATAAAAAGATATCACTCACAAGAATTCTTGCCTCTTGCAAGAATCATTCTCCTGAACCATCATGGTAACATCATTACCTCAATGCTACCAAGATGAAAAAGAAATCCTCTAAATAACATATCATCCTAGTTTTGTTTGGCGAGTGCCTGCCCCAGTAGGAAAGTAGCCAGGTAACAGAGTCATTTAACATACACTATGCCATGCACTAAAGTCAAACAATTTATAATGGTTAAAGTATATCACAGGTCCAAAAACCTGACAATGATTAGACTGCTGATGGCCTGAGACCTAGCTGACTGTAGTTCCCCGGATCCTCCTTATTCCCTTTCATAATTTCATATTTGTAAGGGGCTGGAAGGGACCTTACAGATCATTGGTTCCAGCCCTTTGATCAACAGGGAAATGCTTATGCTGCTCTTTTTGTCAGTTTTGAAAGCCATTCCTCTTGGACAACCATATTCATTTATTTAATACATAGTGTTTTGTTGCTGTTGTTTGATACGTGTTATTTTCAATTTGGCATCTGTTTCAGGCACTGTAACTTTTGAATCCATGTCTACTGAATCCATGTCTTAGTGCTTCAGTTGTATATACCCTTCACTGTTGTGTGATTCCTACAGACAGCAAATAAGACACCTGAAGGGCTTTCATGTTGATATTGTTAGTCTGAAACATAGAGCCTTGTTCATTTTATAAAGGCTTCAGGTTTTCTCTCTCCCACCCCACAAAAATGTTATTCATCTTTCAGGGACAGGTGTTTAGTTTTTAAATGCTGCAACAACTGCAGGAACATCATACTCTTTGCAGCTAGCTCTTCAAAACATACTTCACCAGGTTGTTTGGAATGGGTCAGTGTAATCAGACGTTGATATTTGCCTTTGTATTTCAGCATTTTCTTTTTCTTCCTGAGCCATCATTAAAATAGCCTCCCACTGTCCTTTTCACATAACTTGCCACTGCCCTTTTCATGAGACATGAACAGCCATTTTCCTAAAGTAACCTACAACTAGAGAGAACCCATCAACGATTGAGCAATGCTTGCAATGTGATCACATGAGACTTGCAATGCCCCTTTATCTTAGCGGGGAAAGTATTTCCACACAATGCAATGTAGTTCTCTGCAGAGGTATCCAGACTACCTTGGTGAAGCAAGCTAGCTTGGTACTAGAAACTGTATAATCATGTTAGTGCACTGTTCTACACAATCCAATTACAGGGAGAGTGTAAAAAAACCTTACTAAGCTCAAGATACATAATATTAACTTCTCTCCCCCTTCTCCTTCCATCTACTACCCCACTCCCTACCTCTGAGGACTGCAAACTACAGATTAGGAAATGCTGTTCTAAAGAAATAGAATACATAGAAGGATAAAGAGGTTGAGAAATCCAGTTGAATGAGTGAAATGGTCCACTCAACAATCCATCAGAGATAATCAACCGATTCTAGATCCACACTTGATATGAAACAGTTAAGATATAATGAAATGAAAACAAGATCTAAATGTGAATAACTTGTTAAAATATTACCTTCTCCTTGCTGCCGATAGCAATCAAAGCAAAACTGAGCTGAAAAACTGTTTTCTCTTCTTTCTTTCTTTCTTTTTTTTTCTGGCTTCTCCTGTCTTACCTCTACTCCTATCAAAATGAATTGATTGCCTCTGGTCAAATATACATTTCATTCTGTGCCACTATTTCCCCGGAGATGTTTTCTATCAAGTTTCTTCATTAATCTCTCACTGGTTTGGGTTAAGTCTTAGCTTAAGCTTCTTTCTGGTCTCATTTTGCTAACCCTTTGTAGCTGTAGCTTAAAATCTTTTTAATAGAAGATGTGATCATGGTTCATAGAGTTACAGTTTCAGTTGATTAAATCCAAATCAGAGATACTGTTTGTGATTTTTTTGTTTCATGATCACATTAAAAAGCAATGTAGTATTACTATATAAGACAGGAACTATAATTCTCTTCCGTTTGTCTTTTCAGGGATGATATTCTTCCCATAACTCCTTAAAATGAGAAGGAAAATAACAATTAAGGTGTAGATTTCAAGGATCCAAAGCCAAGATTAGCAAAGCATATTGCAGACATTAGTTATAAGAAAGATATTTTAAGGAGCCTAAC